AGTAGTAGTAGTAGTAGTAGTAGTAGTAGTAGTAGTAGTAGTAGTAGTTGTAGTTGTAGTTGTTGTAGTTGTTGTAGTTGTAGTTGTAGTTGTAGTAAGTAGTAGTTGCAGTTGTTGTTGTTGTTGCTGCTGCTGCTGCTGTTGTTGTGGTTGTGGTTGAAGGTTGTGGTTTTCCATGGAAGATAAGAGAGGGTGTTTGCCGTGTAGCTTCCACGATCCCTAGGATGCTGTCAATCAAACTTGAAATCGTTGTTTGAGCAGGAGATGTGCTCAATGCCTGAAATGTCACTCAGTGAACTGCTCCGAAAGGTACTTCAGGTCAGCTTCACATTCTCTGATCCTCGGGGCATACGACCCAAAGGCATTTGCACGTGGAGGTGGGGTGTAGGTGAATTCTTGCCGCTTTTGCTCTTGAGTGACAAGTGACAATAACCGGTAAACTTCATTTTGTTTCGCAGTTTCAAACCATTTCTGGGGACATCTACCAAGGGGAAGGTTTCCCGGTTCCCGTAAGTTTGTGGTGATTGCAAGTGATTGGTGCAAGCAGGTTTAATTTCTCTTTCAACTCCAGCAGAGACTTTTACTCGAAGGCCTGACCAAGTGCGGTGAAACCCAACAGCTTTTGATGCCGCAAACAAGACTAAACTGGAGTTTTGAGAGTTTTGAAGCAACGGCATGCTGTACAGTCAGGAAGTTGTGGAGAGCCTCTGTCAGCAGAGGAACCTGAGTATCCGCAGACACATGGAGGAGGCAAGTATGAATGTTGCCGTTGCTTTCTTCAGGAGTTGTTTCCTTTCAATTATATACTGTATCTGGAAAATCCAGACGGGTTTCAAAGACCAGTTGCTCAGGGAATTCAGCCGAATCAGTTTGCTGAGCTGCTCTTGGGCTCTGGGTTGGTTCTGAACGAGGCTAGTGTTACACTGACATTGGCAATGAGCACCGCTATGGTAACAGTCTGATGCCGCACTTTTTTTGATGACGAGTTTAGCCAGCGTGCATGCTAGCTAACTCGTTGTATTCTCACCAGAGCCAGGCCATGACATTTCAGCATGACATTATTTTAGCATAGACGCCTAGCGTTGCATAGCATGCAGCATACTTGACGAACCTGGACACTCAGAAATCGACGTGTTCAGTGGCAGAGTACGTCAGGATGTCCACTGGATCACCTACCGTGGGACCAACACCTTGGAGGTGCGAGAGGAGCGCTTTTGACATCTGCGTGCTCAGCTGCAGATGTTTTTGAAGAGTGAGAGCATCAGGATGGACACCCCGGCAGACCAGAAGCGCCAGAGTCTTGCATTTTCGTCCTGAGAGCACTGAGGATACAAGTGCTGCTATCGGATATCGGATGTTTGTTGAACAATACAACACGACAGTAGCTACTGTGCAGCTGTGTCCAACCAAGGCACCAATCCGGCGCCCCTTTAGAATGTGGTGCCATGCAACCTCCCTTGTGCGATCTTATCCATTCGAACGCGAGTCTTGTACAGCTGCCAGTGCAAACCAGGGCTCGAGCTAGTGGAGACGAGAACAAACGGATCACTGGCAGCGGAGCTGCTGGAGAGTGTTTCCCAGCCAGTGGCTCACCGAACCAGGACTTGGTTGATTGGCAGCATAGCTGGCCAGAGTTGTGTTGGAGCTTGGTTGGTTGAGTGTGACTGCAACATGTCTTTAGCCGGGCTGCGTGTCAGATGGGAGACCAAGAGCCGGCAGAATTCCACGAGTGACAATCGAGGACTGGAGTGCGTATGGAGTTTACGAGACAGAGAAGACGAGGAAGAGGGACACCACGCGCGGCGAATCGGGCACGGAAACAGTTATATAGTGACTGGCAGGAGCCAGATCTTTACGACCTCAAAAAGAATTAACCCATTATAAATAACTATAAGCCCGAGGAAACCGTCGAACATGGGTATGTTGGTGTGCAGGAGGACTCAGAAGAGCTTGAATGGGACTACATTGAGGGCTTGAGACCGTTGCAGGTGAATGCATGTCCGTTGAAGGTGCGGGTTAAGATGATGCAGATGTTTCAGCATGAACTCGACATGGAACTTGAGGACGGTGGACCACCAGTGCCTCAAAGTCATCAAGAGCTCGGGCCGGAAGCAATGCGCAATTGGAGGAAGAGGACCAGACTCTGAATTTTCATTTTGGTTTTTCATTGGACTTTGCTGTGGGCCATTGAGCTTTGCTGGGACTTTTGGGTGGGTAGACCAAGCTTTCACCTCTCAAATAACTCAGAGTGCAGGCGCCTGTTGCGGCCAGGCCATGGAGTCGAGACCGATCAAGATCATCACTGGTGACTGGTGGCAAGGAGTTCTGCCAGATGACTCGAGATGTTGGCAAATCGAACAACTACAACAGGCGGACGAAGGCCAAGCAGCTTGTGAGCGCCCTCCAAGTGAGCAGATCAGGCTAAAGATGAAGCTTCGGGCAAGTCATGGTTGCAAAGCGGCTGTCGTGCGATTTGGAGCCCGCTGCTATTGGCAAGGTAGAAGAGGGGCAGAGCATCATGACGGCTATGAGACGGCTATGACTAGAAGGAGCGCAGGGGCGGCTCCCACGTGCAGCAGGGAGGAACGGCGCGTCGTGACCCGAAGAGCTCACTTCTTTTCGGAGTGTGGTTGGTTCTGTGGCATAGATGAGCAGGTACGGGAGACCTGGCCTTTGTTGCAAGGTGAATGCACTGCTGAGGACGCGCAGTGCTCAAGGATTGGCGCTCCAAGGCGTCGAGTTCAAGATCGCTTTTGTAGACGATCTTGATTGAGAGCTTCTCAGATGTGAGCTTTGCAGATCAATCAGAGCACAAATCCCTACTTTGCCAACGCAGGTGGTGGTTTGGGAGAAAGGCATCGTCTTCAGCTGATTTCATGGAGCTCTCCAACGTCGAAGAGAGTGTGCAGAGCAACTCTTCAGGCAGAGGCTCACGCCCTACAAAACGCAGTAGAAGCAGAAGATCGTCTAGGAGCAATGACTTGTGAACAGCTTGGATGCATTCAGTCAATGTCGAACTGGCACGAGGAGAGCCAAAGGAAGGCAAAACATTTGTATGTGACTGACTGTCGTTCAGTCAGTGATCACTTGCGCGGTGAAGTGATGCAGAAGGTCCAATGTTTGGAATAGAGTTGTCGAGCTTGAGAAAGGCTGGGGGTTGACTGTGGGAAGACACTGCATCGCTATGCACCGCACGGAGACGAACTTCAATGGACTTACACTGGCAGTCAACTTGTAGATTGACTGACAAAGTCCATGCGGCCGGGCTACTTGCTTCGAGTACTGGCCGGCGGTGAAACAGTGATCGATGGAATCAAATCGAGACCTGCGAGGTAGGTCCCAGAATTCCTTCCTGGTATGTGAACTTTTCATTTCATTGGAATCGAGAAGTCCAACCCGCGAACTTTTGCATGTATAAAGTCCTGACAGACAACGTGTTAAACCTGTAGATAAGACGGGTGTGATATTAGCAAACAGTTCATCAGTTCGAATTTTGTACAGCTGCCAGGGTATGACACGTACCGTAACTTGGGCTCAAGCCCAGGGCTTTGAACTAGTGGAGACGAAAACAAAGGGATCGTGTTGGGACTCAAACTTGTACTTGTGTTCTGCTAAGGCCACACATAGTCTTGGCTGGCCTGTGCCCTGCCAGCAGTTGTCGCATGCCTTCATCAAGCCTAATGGGTGGTTTGCCCCTGCAAAGGGCTTTGAAGCTCGTCATTCAGGTACGATCTTGCTCACCTTTTGCAGATGCTTCGCGGAGAATGTATACCAGATGAGGCCCTGGTGCAATTTTGCGTGCACACCAACGGTCCTTCTGTCAAGACTTGGAACTTTTTGAGGCTTACTCATGGTTAGTTTACGGCTTTGACATTGGTGCAGGTGCAAAACTTCTTCGAGGATTTGGATCTCTTCTTCCCATGGTTTCTCCAGCCTTTGCGCTCGCGAACTTATGCTCATACCAAGTTGTTGAGTTGTTCTTTCAGTGTCACTCAATCTCAACTGCATTCTACACGCACGCCAACTTAAATTTTTCGCGCCAGTCGCTGCGACATTTCAAAGCACTTGAGCCGCCAGAACGGTGGGGATGCCCGGTCAAACCCAAAAATTTTGTAGGTTTCATGAAACTTCATGAGCAGCGCTCATTGAGTGTGTACCCACAGTGGAACCATGCGCATATAATTCACAGTATAGACAGACGAAGATCCGCTAGGAACCGGTGGGCTAGTATCCGACAGTTTGGAAAAAATCATTCCATGTTCTTGCAGGATCGTCCTTTCGAAATGCTCACTACATCCTGGATGCCAGAGCCTCAGAGAGTCTGAAGCCGGCCAAGCTTTGGTTTGTATTTATCAATCAGCAAGAGCAGAGCATTGGAGCATGAGGCTTTCTTCCGCCTGCCAGATGCAGTACGCAGGATTGCCGATTCTTTCAAGTTCAAAAAGTGCATCCACGATGAACACATGAAAGGACTGCCTTCGAGCCTGAGAACGAGGCATTGGCATTGGTTCTTATGTCGTACATCTAGGTTTTTGGGATTCAGCGACAATCTTGAAGGCAGTCACTGTGTTGAGCGTTCCTGACGCTTCAGAGCCTCCGCCGGGCTTTGTTCAGGGCTCAGGCGAAACAGTGTATGTCTTTGATGCAAGTAAGAAGGGTCAAAATCATAGATCACAAACAAACACACACACACACACACGGGCGCACACACACGCAGAACGCACTTGTGTATATGACTGGAATCTTTGACCCAGAGGGAGTCTTGTCTTGTGTTCTGTCACAAAGAAATACAAAGAAGCGTTTGTGTGTTTTGATGTCAATGCCCGTTTGCTTGACTCATCTGGCGGACAACCAGCTGCCTCCGGCAGATCCGGCAAAAATGATGTCGCCAGGTGGTCAGACACACCACAGATGTATGCTTCGCTGTAGGTAGCGGCAGGCCAAATGCATGCTCAATAATTTTCAATAGAATGAATCTTGAGCAGCCAAGCAGACATCCCACACTAAAGGCCAAAAAAAGGCCTCAACTTTTGTTGGTCTGACAAAATGGGATGACAGCACCCGAACAGCATGAGGAAGCATGGGATCGGCGCAGCGTGACAGCACAGCAGTGCCCTAGATGCGACTGGACCGCCTACGCTCTACCTCAACGTCCTGAGGCCAAGGTGGAAAGAGTGCGCTTGAGATTTTAACATGTGCACCAAGGCACGGGCAACTGGGAAGAGCTCGCGGAAGTGTGGGCCATAAGAAGCTCGAGTGTTTAAACGCGTATCAGACACTCAAATGTAACTTCCAGTTATTTTGACTTCAGTCGTTGTGTTGCCCAGGGAACGCGAAGAATCAAGACAGAAGGCCAAGCCCTGTTGGTAAGTGTTTGTTGAAAGACCTTTGTTTAACGATTCTCGGAGTTATGCAAGTCTGTCGCAGCATTTTAACCGAACATCTCAAGTGGTCGTAAAACTGGCACGTCTTGAAAGGAGCTGATGTGTTGTCCCGAGTGCCGAATGATGCCATGGCGCCACGGGCTTTCAAGCGGCAGCTTAGCAGCAAGGCTTGGCGAGAGGTAAGAGTTGACAACCGGCAACAACTCTTTGTCAATCAATTTGACCTAGTGTCTTCAACTCCACGAATTGAAGGTTTGGAAGACCTTGGACATTGAAGAAGTCCACCTTCAGCAGACTGTGACAAAGGTGCTTTCTTGCCGAGTCAGCTTGTGACATGCTCACAATTCAGGCTTACTGATATTTGTAATCCTATGCTATCCCCATTATCATATTATACATATTATATAGTGCTAGCTAGTAGAGACATCTATGTAATGTTAGCAAAATAGCCTCAAATACAGGTCGAGCTGAATCATTGCAACGAGAACTTGTTCTTTTCCATAGAGATTCAACTGCTACATAATACGTATTCATACAACTTGGAGAGACTATGTCATGTTGAGGCGTAGGAGGAAAAGGTGCCTTATAGACATCTGCCAAGTTGGAGCAGTTTTCCAGGAACAGTTAAGGGACAAAATTCACGTACTAAGTCATCATGCGGCAAGAGGAGGAAGGACCCGGACCCAGACCCAGATAATGAAAACGGGGCCAAACACATTTTGCAGACTAAGAGACGACTCTCTATTGCGCAAAACATGGCAATCTGAGCTTCAGAGGTTCAGAAGACAGCAGATGGACGGGTGTGCCGCCTAGAAGTGGTTGAACTTTGGGTATGAACACAATCTTGCGTCCATCACAATGAGAGTTTGATAAGCAGGCATGACCAGATTGAGTGTCAAAAAGCTTCATTGTATGATTTTGAATGCAAATATTCAATGATTGTGGTTACTCCGGATTTGACAATTTTGTGTTGCTGAGACTCCAGCGCTAGAATTGCTGCGGAAGACCATTGGTGAGGCAGGGGCGGGCATTCTATTGAAAGCTTTCATGCACAAGCCACAAGCCTTGCTTTGCTCTCAAGAAAAGAGTTGAAGATATTTTGTACTTTGTGCTGGAGGCTTTGACAGCTCTAGGCAACGCAACCCAGCAACCAACATACTCTCCTCATTTGCTTTTGTGATGTTTTGAAGGCTTCTTTGCATTGAGGCAACAGCGAAGCAGCAGCCTTTGCCGAGACGGTCGAGGTTTGGCTTTTGTTGGCTGGGCGGTTGGCGGTTTGGCATCAACGTGAATTCAGGGTACCATCTTCGACATCACTGGCGGTGAGGAACCTAGACGACGCTACCAAGCCGAGGCTTGCCAACGTGTGCCGTTCTATCCTGCACATAGTGTGCAAATTACTGAGTGTGGGGGAAGACAGCAGCAACCAGACACCAGACCTAGAAGGCAATTACTGCGACTGTGAAGCAAAGTTGATGATGCGCTAGAAACATCTAGAAACGAGAGCCTCCATCATCTACCGGCTCAAGGCATGTGGAGCGTGAAGGGTGCGGTCGACTTCCATGCGACTTGCCCACTCTACTGCTCCTCCTCATGCATCCCCTGGGTCCTCGCTGGCCTTCCTTTAAATTTCAGGCTTTTTGTTCTATTCGCTCTTCTTATGCTTTGGCACATCCACTTTCGGCCGCTCTTGCTGCACCCATCTTCTGGTGCTGATCCCTCTCCTGTGGCTTTGAGCGCTCCACGCCCTCAAGGGCTTGAGAGAAGAGCGAGATTGGCTGGATACTGTGAGTTTGCCCGTTTCCACAGAGGACATCGACAGGTTGATTGCGGCTTTTCTGGTGCGTATCGCTGCCCGGACTTGTTGCTGAGTGACTATGTCTTTTGCCCTGGAGAATATCCATTAGCCTCTGACTCGCCTGATGAAGTCGTCTATCTTGCAAAGGTATGCGATGCCAAGAACCTGCTGGGCATCTTCGATGGCCATGTGGATCACTACTCCGAGGTGAGGGTCTTCAACAATTTCACGAACGAGCGCGAGGGTAGACAAATTGGGGGCCAGCGGGGTAGAAATATTCAGGAGTGCAAGATCTCAGGGCCATCATCCTTCTTGCCTGCTGGAAGTGACTCGGCCGATCTCCATTTGGACCCTATGCCATATGCTACTGATAGAAAGGACTTCTACCACCAGGTCTGGGTGAGCGAGTCCAAGATGGCTAGCAATGCGGTTGGCCCAGCAATTCCGATAGATCGGCTTCGCGGTCTTCAAGCTTATGATGATTTTGCGCAGTACAAGCTTGACGGGTTGAGAACAAAAAGAGAGCGATAAAGTTTTGGAGACCAACTTCACCGTGCTGGTATTCACACTGATTTTTTGGATAGAAAGAGCTTGCTGGTGGAAGAGGTGCATATTTGCTTCCGTGGTGGGTTTGTTGAGGGGCCCCGAACGTCTGGCGAACATGTTCCTTTCTCAGGAGCACTGCTGTGTCAGGGACTGGTCATTGATGACTATATTGCTCTCTCCTGTGGAGGTCGAGGACAAGATCGCGCAGCCGTTTGTTTTGAGAAAAGCCAGCAAGCCTGTGCTTCCAGGAATATTTTGGGCTCCCCTCTGAAAGATGTGAAAGGTGAGAGGCGTGCCAAGATTATCGGTACAGAGATCAAACAGGGTTGCTTGTTGTGGTGTGGCTACTGCCGGAGCCCCTGTTGAGAAGCGTCAGGTTTAATTTGATTTCCTTGCAAGTGAGTCATACCACTGATGCTCTACACCTTTGCGCCCTAGGGATGGACTTCTACGCTGCTTTAGTGGGAGAGCCCTTATGTCATTGCTTGCTATCACTCGGTCGATGTCAACTCCCTGAACAGTTCCTCACCTAAACTGGTTGCTCTTCCGCGTCCGGTGGATGATGAGCTGGTACCGCTAGCTGTTCTAGCCCCCTTTGCCGTGGGAGACATAGGAGCCGGCGGTCTTTGCTACAGACGCCTCAGACACCGTGGGTGCCATTGTCGTTTCAAGTCCAAACAAAGCCAGCTACTCCAGGTGCTTGAGGAAGGAGTGATTTCGAGGCAGACCTCTCACGCTCACCATCCCATCCTATGATTTCATTGAGATCTACGCAGGCTCTCGTGTCTCTACGGCGGCCAGTGAGCTTGGTATGGCGGTGGTGGTTGGACCTTCTGTGGGAAGCCCCCTTCGTTGAACGCAGAGCGTGTCAACCAGGTGTTGTTGAACTACGGTAGAAGGTTGTATGAAGTTGGAAAAACATATGGATCTTCTTGTTGGGTCCATAAACGGTCTGGCCTCGTACAGGCCTGTCTTGCGACGTCAACTTCAGCCGAGTTGGGATTTTGCTTGTGCGTGGGTGCGTGAGGAACACCCATCACATCGTCACAGAATCATATAGCGATGCCGCGGCAGATTCTTTTGGCAGAGTTGGCCTGGGGACGGGTAGAAGTAGCTGCTCTTTGCGCACTTGGATCCTGGTATCAGGCTATGGCCTATGGCCTTTTCGCCCCAGACGTTCCGGCTGAGGTTTCGTGATATCTTCAGTGCGCAGTGCGCAAACCTGAGTCCACTAGGGCCAAAAGGCCTGGGCGTGGGGTCCTTGAGACTGAGCGGAGCGTGAGGATCGTGAGTTTGCGCGA